AGGTTGCGTGGTGGTGAAGGCACTGGACTCCCACACGGCTGACTAGGCACATGGCTAACTAGGGTTCACGTTCTGAACCTGGCAGCTTGCTTTCTCACTTTCTCTCTCTGTTCAAATGAAAAAAAAAAAAAGTAATAAATAAAATTAATTAAACACTTCTTTAAAAAACATAATGAAAGTTCCTGACTAGTCACTGGCCCACTTACAGTAGTGCTGTTACGAGAGGTCCCTGGACAGTACTACTTCCATCTCAACTTGGCCCCCCCAAAGGGCTCTAGCAGAAAAACTATTCTTGAAATAGTGTTTAAAGATTTCCTTGGCAGTGGAACCAGCAGTTAGTGTAATGGCTATGTCGCTGGACTCCCACATAGTTGACCACGGTTCGCGTCTCAGATCCGGTGGCTTAAAACTCACGCCGGGCGCGGGTGCGTGTGTGCCCAAGATCCCGAGAGGAGAATGGAGGAGAAGGGATTGCGGCATGACCATCCCCCCTGGGGGGTGATTTCTTGCGTTCTGTCTCTCTGTCTGTCTCTGTCTGTCTGGAGAGCGCACGCGCCCTAGAGCGAAAATTTCTCCAAAAAAAAAAAAAAAAAGATTTCCTTGGCAGTAATGAAGTCACTTATGTCAGCCAGGAAAACAGCTGTTTTTCCATTAGTATACTCACAGGCTGTTGCTTTCAGAATCTCACTCATGTTAAGAACTTGCTTAGCTGGGGCCAGCAGGTGGTGTCGTGCTTAAGGTGCTGGACTACCACATAGTTGACAGCAGTTCAAGTCTCCAACCCAGCAGCTTGAAACTCATGCCACGTGCATGTGTGCCCAAAATCCTGAGGAGATGGGATTGTGGCATGGCCATCCCCTCTAGGGGGTGATTTCTTATTTTCTATCTCTCTGGTGAGCACAGACACCCTATACTAAATAGAAAACAAAAACAAAAAAAACAACAAGAAAAAACTTGCTTAGCTTTTTCCATTACCCTTCTGGGCAGAAGCTGTCCACATTAGGGTTTATGCCTAGCTCTCCTGAAATGCAAATGGTCCTACCAACTAAAACAGCTTAACCATAGGTACCAATGGCCCCTGGGGCATCGCCAGTGTTGATCACTCTTCTGATCAGGGGTGAAGTGGCTAAATCTCTCACTTGTGGCCCCATCCTGAAAAAGAAGCTTCTACCCTCACTGTCCAAATTAACTTCTGATCCTAGGTACCTATTTGAAAACTAGAGATAATACTAGGGTTGCTATGCATGTGAAGAGAAATGCAAAGCATTTTAGCACAGTAAGAACTCAACAACGTTGACTTATAATTTCAATCTTTCTTCCCCTGCCAAACCATCCTTAAACCTGTGCCTTTTATTGGTCTTGTAGCACCTTGTGCTTACCAATATAACCATACTTGTCTCACTATCTTATAGTTTCCTTCCTTCTCCCTTGAGAATAGAATAGAACCTTACTCATAGAGATACTCTCAAGGTCTGGCATATAGATAGATACTAGTCATAGAAGAAAATGTCAACAAATTGATTTTCAAGGGTGTAATTGGCTATTAGTGATTCATTAACTAGGCAGCATCCAATCTGCAAAACAGAAAGGAGCTCTCATCAATGAGCCAGAGGGAGTGAATTTTATAAGCAGAAAAAAGCAGAGGCAAGCAGAAACAAGGAACAAATAGTCATTTCAAGGTTAGTTGCCCGATAAGGATATAAGCAAAATCTTGTTAGCTGAATGAGATTTAGCTATCATCTTGCTTTTGATTACTTGGAAAGTCATATTTGACAAGTGAAAAACCTAGGTTATGATTTGATGATGTGGAACTTTAACTAGAGTGACTCCATTTGGGGCCTGCTGTCTTTTCTTTAACATGCTCAATAAATGAGTATTGGGAACAGCAGATGGCATAATGGTTATGTCACTTGGCTCCCACATAGTCAACCGCAGTTAGAGTCCTGGACCCAACGGCTTAAGACTCACACCGGGTGCATGTGTATGCATGCCAAGATCCCAAGGGGAGAAAGGAGAAGAGATTGCGGTGTGGTGATCTCCCCAACCCTGGAGGAGGGGAGGTGATTTCTCACTTTCTGTCTCTTTGTCTCTCTCTGTCTATGGTGAGCACAGGCACCCTATAGCAAAAATCTCTCTCTAAAAAAATAAATTAATTAAAAAATTGAGTACTAAGGAAGCAAAGCCTTTCTTGGATATTCCAACTTTTACCAATATTCTTCCTCTGAATGTATATAATAATTATAATATACACTATATACTCCTTTATTATTTAATGCCTCTTATTGTTCTGAGCATTCTACTTCCTCAATTTTTAAAAAAGAATTATTTATTTAATTTTATTAATCATCATCATTATTATTATTTTTAAATTTGCTATAGAGCATGTGTGCTCACCAGGAAAAGACAGACTGAAAGAGGAAGTGAAAAGGCAAGCCACCAGGTCTGGGGTTTGAACCACTAATTGGCCATGTAGGAATCCAGTGATGCAACCACCATGTCCCTGCTGGCCCCAGTCTATTTCCTCAGTTGTATTGACTATTTCCTTGAAGGTACATAGTAATCTAATGAACACCTGTTTAGCAATAAGAGAATGTATGGCTGGCCTTCAACAAATTACTAAGTGAATGACAAATACACTTCATCTTTGGGTTGTTAGTAAAATCATGAAGTATTTTTTCTATGCAAAAATGTAGCATGACTTTTCCAACAACCCAGTATGGTTAAAATATTATCTTTCCATTACTGATCTGTCCATTAAACATTTCTAAGGTCTTAGTTACAAGGAAGAAACTAGGGGGGCCAGTCAGTGGTTTGGAGGTTAAGGTGGTTGGATCCTACATGACTGACTTTGTGGTTTGAATCCTGGATAGGCAACTTGAAAAACATAGTGGCTGCAAGTGTGTGCGTGCTCAAAATTCTGAGAGGAGAATGGAGAAGGGATTGCAGTGTAGCCATTCCCCCAGGGGGTACTTTCTCACTTTCTCTTTCTCCTTTTCTTTCTCTGTCTCTCTCTTTCCAGCATGTACCCTGTAGCAAATTAAAAAAAAAATTTTTAAAAAGTAATTTTGGGGCCAGCACGTGGTGTGATGATTAGAGCACTGGATACCCACATGGCTGACCATGGTTTGAGTCCCAGACCTGGCAGCTTGCATTCTCACTTTCATGCTCTCTCTTTGTCTCTCTGGTGAGCATATGTGTCCTGTAGCAAACTGAAAATAACAATAAATATAATGCAATAAATAATTGTTTTTTAGAATTATTTATTTAATTTTATTTATCATCATCATTATTACTTTTAAATTGTGATCAGAGAAAGACAAAGAGAGAGAGAGTGAGAGAGGGAAGGTGAGAAAACAAGCCACCAGGTCCAGGACTCAAACCACAGATGGTCATGTGGGAGGCTAGTGCCTTAACCACCACGCCACCTGCAGCCCTCAATAAATAATTCTTTTTAAATTTTTTTTTTGAGATGTTTTTGGTATAGGGTGCAGGGTGCTCGCCAGAAAGACAGAAAGAAAGAAATCACCTCCCCAGGGGTGATGACCATGCTGCAATCCCTTCTCCCTCTCGGGATCTTGGGCTTGATATAAATTTAAGCCAGCAGGTCCAAGACTCAAACAGTAGTCAACTACATGGGAGTCCAGCAATATAGCCATTATGCCATTTGCTGGTCCCTTCTTTTTAGGTTTTTGTTATAGGGTTTGTGTGCTCACCAAGGAGACAGTGAGAGGGAAAATGAGAACTCATCCTTGGGGAACAGGGTAGGGCTGGCCAAGCTGCAATCCCTTCTCCTTCAGTTTCCTGCTGGGATTTGAGGCACCCACAGGTAGGCGCGATTTCTCAATTCACCAAGTCCAGGCCTTGGACCACGGTTGGACATGTGGAAGCCCAGCGCGGTAACCCCCATGCTACCTGCTGGCTCCAAAACTCTTCTTCTTGAGATAATGCCACCTGAATCTTACTCCTCCCAGTGACAGTATGCTTAAAATACTATTTAATGGTACCAGATAAAATATTGATGTTGGAGAAAATTAATGCACTTATTTGCCGAATTCTGAGATTACAGGCTGAGGGAACTCCTGAAATACGAGCAAAGATAGCCTAGGCTGCAAGAACTTTTTCAGACACAGAAAAAACGTGATATTCATTACCCCTGTAACTTAATAGGGGAAAAATAGAAAACGGTTTCAAAATATTTTGACAAAGAAAACGGTTTCAAAATATTTTGACAAAGCTATAAATAAAGGTTCTATATGTGGCTACTAAGAGAAACTGTATTCTGTCCAGGTATGTCAAAGAAACGCACACGTACTCTGTCACTTGAGTCCCCTGTCGGCAGCAGAATAGGAGGCAGGCTAGGGTCTGCCCTAGTATGAGAAAGTCCTGCATCATGAAATACACCACTTTGCACGAGATTATGCTCAAGATTTCATTACAATTAGGGAGACTTCCAAAGCAGGAGAAGAGGAAAAAAAAAAAAACAAAAAAAAACCCCTCTTTCATCTTTAGGGGGAAAAAAAGCCAGAAAATCTTCCATACAAGCAGCTCCTGATAAGAAAGTTTGGCGTTGGACAGTAATCGCTGGACAGAATTTAATTCTGACCTTCTGAGTCCCCACCTCGCTGAAGGAAATTCTAACAGGAGGCCCCAGGATGAAGGTAGAAGAAACGCGCTGCAGCTGACGATTTTCTCCAAGGAAAGGAGTGTGGCCCGGCAGGAGCTGCAGAACACTGCCCTTGTCTGAGGACAATATGCACACGTCAGGCCGGCCCAGACCGTCGCCTTGCTGAGACCGAGCGAGGCACCGGGCGGCCCGCAGCGCAGCGCTCTATATTGTGCGAGCCCGGGCGGCGGAAGGCCTCCCCCCCGCCGCAACATTAAAGAGTCCTTCTTTGTTCAGCCCCGGCCACGGACGCAGGGCGCGGTGTTCTTCCGCGCTCGCCGCGCAGGCCCCGCCCCCCGCGGCCCTGGAGAGCTGCCATTCGGCCCCGGAGGAGCTCGGCGCTCCCAGAATGCACCGGCAGTCCGCGGGAAACCAAAATGGCGAAGGGCTGTAGCGAAGTGGGCTGTGTTTGAGGCCGGTGTAAGGACGCTCTCTACCCCCCAACCCTCGTCCCCAAGGACCTCGGTTTGTGTGTGCATATGTGCGGGGTGCCCGGTGGGGCGGGTGTCCAGTGAGTGCTCGGACTCGCAGGGGAAGCGCCCACGGGGACGTGATTGGCTGTTTTTTCCTGTATGAAGCGGTTGGCACCACTGAAGTGACCGAATGAGGTGAGAGACCTTGGCCTGGGAACCGACTCTTCCGGAGGAGGTGGGGGTGGGGGTGAGGGGAAGAAAGGAAGCAAGTATAAAAGGGAAAAATGGAGGACCGAGGTGGGGGTGGGGGCTCCTGTCTGTGGGTGCCTTTCCATTTATGTATCTGCTGAGAAGAATGGATGGAAAGGAGTAGGCAGTGGAGTGTTGGGAGAACGTAGGGACTAAGGGAGCGATCAGGCCACCGGGGAGTCCGTTGGAGGAACCAGATGAAACGTTGAGACGGGGAAGCTGTGTTTGGAGGGCAGGAAGGAACCTGGGGGCAGGAGACGGTTGGAGGGGCAGGATGAACCTGGCGAT